ATTTTTTTTTTTTTTTTTAAGTTTGCAAAGAAACAATGATTTTTTTAATACTAATAGATTACAAAAGTACTTCTCCATGAACAAACTTCAGTCTTATAACATTGTTACTTTATAGCATAATACAATAATAATGTAGTATAATTCTGCTAATAAGCCCACCAGCCATAAACAGCCCACCAGCTTGTTTATGAATGTGTCTCCAAATACTCTCTCAGTTCATCACAAATTAAAATAACTGTAAATTTTGGCAATCTGAAATACAAAATGAAAACATCTTCTGGCAGAGCAAAAGCATCAAAATATTTTCTATAAATTCGCCACCGATTCAGAGATCTACGACCGTATTCTTCGTTTAACTATGAAAAAATCAGCGGCGAAAACACATACAAAGCCACTGTCTACTTAGTCTGTCAACTGCACAACCCTGACTGACGACGCGGCAACACTTTTTCGCACGCTTTCAATAACTTCCGTACTCAGAGAATATAGGATGTCGGGCAGACCTGTTTTTCACTAGCAGCGACATCTGGCGGCCCACAACTTGCTGTCGACTCTCGTAGCATAGAATAACCGTCCAGGATTAAACCACCAGTATTCAGCAGTCTTAACCACTGGTGAGAGACTTTCTTGGTTTATAAATTTAAAAAAGTGTAAAACAATAAATCTGATTTAAAATAAAGAATTAAAGCAGAAACTCAAAGATATTGTACAAAAATTTTTTAACAAGTGTCAACATCAATAAACAAATTTATGCTTTACTTCTTTCTTTTATTTATTCACAGAAAAGGACAGAAAATACACTGGTTATCATAAATAAAGGAAAAATCAGAAAAAATCACGATTACTAAAAAAGTTACATGTAGAATTTAATGAAACTTACTCACGATATACAACACACAGTAAGGTATCAAATAACATAAAAAGAAATTATCAGACAAATATGGTAGTATAGAAATTAGCACATCTGTAAAATGAACAAATCGAAGGTGTCAGTTTGCTATAGGAAAAGTACCTTCAATATGGAATATGATCGCCTCTAGAAACAATACAGCACATACAGCGATGTGTGATGCTTTCAATTATGAGGTCTATCAGTTCCATAGGAAGCGAGAGCCATTGCTTTTGCAAAGCAGTTGCAAGCGCGACAAGGGTCTGAGGGGGCAGATTGAGAGCAGCTAAACATCTCCCTAAAGCACCCAAATGTGCTTGATAGGATTCAAGTCTGGGGATCGAGCTGGCCACTCCATGTGCATAATTGTTTCCTGTTGAAGATAATCATCTTCGATGCGAGTCCTGTGTGGTCTTGCATTGTCGTCCTGTAACAGGAAAGCATCACCTATTGCCCCGGCAAATGGGCGCACATAAACATCAAGGATGTCATCTCTATAAATCTGAGCATTCATGGTTCCCCTTGGAAAGACATGAAAGTCTGCGTGTTTACCCAAAGAGATGCCACTCCAAACACAGACACTGCCTCTTCCGTATGCATCTCTTTCACGGATGTTTAACAGATGATAATGGGTTCTAGGTTCTCTCCATATCAAATAACGCGTACTATCGCTTTGTAGACTAAACCTGGACTCATCCATAAAGAGAATCGCCCTCCATTGATCAGACGTCCAGTGGGCATGTTGTCGTGCCCACTGAAAACGGTCTCTCCTATGGCGTGACGTGAGCGGCACACAAATGGCTGGTCGCCTCGCATACAGACCACCTTCGTGAAGCCTTCTACGCACAGTTTGACGTTGACCAGAAACCTTCCGGTGGCTGCAGCAAGGGAGGATCTAAGAAGAGTCAGAGTAGTGGTTCTATTCCTGCGTGCACATAATGTCAAATATCGGTCATCGGCGCTCGCAGCAGTTGGCCGTCCTTGGCTGAACCTCCTAGATGCCGAATCTGTGGTTTGAAATTGCCTCCTTACAAGTCTGTAACCACAGAAGGACTTGCATTTAGCCATCTGGCCACTTCAGTTTGACTTTGTCCTGCCTCTAGTCTCCTAATGGCTCTCCATCGCAGCTCTGCAGGCAAATGATGCCTAGAGGTCATTGTTACGAATTGGCTATCTCAGATTTCTGATGTCACTGTCACAGTGAAATATGTGGGCTTGCTCTCAAACATAGACTTTTATGCTTCTCGCAGATGATGTATTCCGAAAGCAGCACCACTAATTTTCATATCGCAGTTTTACTCAGCTACTCTTACTTGTCAACATATTCAAATTTTACACGGTTTGGCTTATTTTTGAGGGAGTTATCACTATTTTTGTGATTTTTCCTTAGTTTATGATAACCAGTGTATAAAGCATAAAAAGATTTGAATAGTAGCAGCATACATTTAGTAACAAATTCTAAATGTAGGACAAGCTACAACTCGTACTGGATTTAACTCATTCACAAATGTTCTAACAGAGGCTAGACACCCTTATAAATGCTCATTGTGACATCTGCCAGTGCTCAACCATTAACTCCCAGACATCAACAGCAATGTTTATTCTGATGTCATGATTGTACAGCCATCCTGACTGTTAATGGCAATCTAGCAATGCTGTCTGTCATATTGTTGGGCCCAGGTTGAATTTTGTTTGAGTAGATTGAGCAAGTTTGAGTACAGTTGGAATTACTATGGCACATTAACACTTGTTTTAGTGAACAATGGAATCTCTCAAGTAATCCATTAGGTGCAGGGTGGTACGGAGAAGTCCAAATTAGGTAAACACCCAGAATTTTATTAAGAGTAGTGAACATGCGTGACTCAAACTGTCAGCTTTGATCGGTACTTATGGTAAGTGGGAACTCCAAAACTAGCAATCCAATGAATAAAAAGTGCTTGAGTGACAGTTTACGCATAAACATCCTTCATGGTACTGCTTCCAGCCATCAGGAGAATCAGACAGCGAGGGTTAATACGTAGGAGTATCCTTCTGAACGTGGTAAGGCACTATATCCAAATGCACATGTTTAAAATGTTGATTGGGTACAGCAAAGAACTGCGAGCATGCTGTCTCTCTGGCAGTCGATGCAAGCACGAATCCAAGCAACACAGTCTTTCGACACAGAAGGCCACATAAAACAAGAGAGAATGAGTATCTTTGCCAATCATACACATGGATAAGAAAGTCCATGGAGAAAATTAAACACTGTCTTTCACAATAGGTTATAAACAAAAGGACAGATCTTGTCACCATTTATGTCACATAATATATTTAAACCAACGGAAAGCTCCATCTTTTGTAGTTTTAATGACCTACTTTCTGTAGACAGTAACAGACTTTGGAATCATTCTGTTGAGACTCGGCAATCTATGCAAAGCTTGTCATATCCAGTTTATTGATAAAAGCAATTTGTAGCAATGAACCTGCCATGATATTTTCTGGTCAAGAAATGTGTTATATATCAGTACTGAATTCGGCGATATAATAAATATGTCTTATCTGCCTGGGGGATGAAGAATTTTAATTTTTTCTGAGTAAAAATAGTAGAGTGCAATGATCTGTGTATACTAAAAAATTTTGTCCCTCGAGATTATGTTGAAAATGCTTTATAGTGCAACAGATAGCAAGTAATTCTCTATCATATGTGTTGTACATAGTTTCAGCTGGAGTTAGTTTTTGGGGAAAATAGGCTTGTGGTTGAAGATGTTTATCGTGTAGCGAATGCATAACAGCTCCAACAGCCACAACTGAGGCATCAACCATTTATGACAACTGCTGACCAGGAGCACGGTAACGAAGTGTCACTGCATTTACTAGATCAGTTTTATATTTTTCAATGGCTGTAGTTGTTTCCACTGTCCAAAGAATAGGACATTTATAATTTTTCTTAGAATCTTTCAAAAGAGAAGAGCGGTATGTGGGTAGTTGCTGCCTTAAGCAAAAATCCCCAGTAAAATTCATTATATGTTATATTACTAGAAATTTAAAATGCTGAAATTAGACAATTCTAAAAGCACACATCCTATATTCCAAACACTGAGACAAACACCAATCCCAGTTTTTACCTCTAATGCAAAATGGAAAGATACTTTTGTTTCAAATAAAGGGCATTAATAATGTTCAAATGAGGGACTGCAAGTTCTCAGATAATTTACAATTCGATTTCTTGGGTATTTTTAAAAATGATAACCTATCAAAATTTAAATAATAAAATATCATGAAATGTATTCTTAACAATATTTAACTTTCATAGGAACTGAAAATACATATCACATCACCTGTTACCTTACATCTATTACAAATTACATAAGACAGAAAACAATATTTTGAGAATTATGGGCTTACAGTTATAATGGTTATTCCTCTAATATTTTCACAATGCACATGTACTTATACTCCCTAAACAGGCATGATAAAACAAATAATAAATTAATACTCCTCCCAATTGATTTATGAAGTAAAGCACTCGATTAAAATTTCCAGTAAAGTACTTTTAGGTGACACTGTAAATGGGAAACAGGGAGTTCAAATACTGAAGATCTTCCACTAATGAAAAACACCTGCTCACTTTATCCTAGCACTATAACTCATGTTCTTGCTCTTGAAATGCTTAAGTTTCTGAAAATATTTATCTTATAAATCAGAATAAAATCCATAACTGCAAGACAGCAAACTAGTAAAACTAGCTTAATAAAAATAGGCATGTTTTGAAATTAAATAACATTTCAATAGCATTTTTCATTATGCAATGTTTTTTAATAACAATTTATTACCAAAGTTATTTTGATACTTAACACAGAATTACCTCATCCACATCTGATTTCAGTAGATGAAAAACTTGACCGGAGCTAGTTGATGCTATTCGTTCATAGGCTCTATAACCAGGATGAGAATGGTTCCCACAATCGCCAGTCATGACGAAAACAACCTTTAAAAGAAAAATAATTAAAGCTAAAAATAATAAATGAATCATGATACATATTTCTTTTTATCTGATGAATATTAAAAAAAGGCAAGTGCAAGAAAAATAAAAAGACATGACACAAACTGCATTACATGGTTAAATTACAATTACAACATTTCATTAAAATCAACTAACAGAAATATAAAGAAATGTACACATAAAAAAAAAAAAAAAAAAGAGAGAGAGAGAGAATTGAAAGGGTTCAGATTTTAACAATTGCTCCGAAGGATCTTTTTAAAGTTTAATATGGTTTATCAGTAGTGATTATCAATAGACATGGTCCGTGTGGAACAGTGAAACATGTTATAGAATATTAGATAAATATTGATTTAGACTAACGTAAGAATATTATATATTTTCTGCATATTTAAAACAGAAAAACTATAGAATGTAATTCTATAAAAATATTCAATCTTTAATTAGACCAATCATGAGTTAAATGCATTTTAATTTAAATCAATCAGATTAAGAAGTAAAAAAGTTTGTTAATTAATAACAGATTAAGTTTGAAAGAATAACCTTAAGTTTTTCCGAATGGCAGAAGACTTAAATTAAAAGTGAAACAATGCTAATAAATTAGCAATAATAAAGAAAGACTATAAAACAGAGAAATTTTAAAATGTTTAAACTCAGTGCTTCTAAAACTTTAATATTATGATATCATAGCATATAGCAGCTCTGAAAATAATAAGGAGACACAGAAAGAAATTCCAAGAGAAATATACTGAAATAATCAATATATATGTATAAATATTAATTTAATAATAATTAAAAATAAATACATATAATTATAATACTACAAAGAAAAAGAAAAAAAAAAAAACCTCCGAACTTTTCACAGTCTGCCAAAATTTGTCTTTTGGCTCAATGCAATATGATGATCCACAGTAGGGGAGACAGTGGTTCATACAGCATATATTCCGAAGAATTTTATGCATTTTAAACAGAAATCATGTAGTTTCGTACCCAAACCAGAGGGATTAATAATGGTCGAGCATGAATAAGTAAAAGCATCAGAGGAAGACTTACATACTATAAGCATGAAAATTATATTATTAATTGAAAATCAAGTGTGAATTCATTAACAGCAAAAAAAATATTAAGTAAAAAAAATTATGCTTTTTGTCACATAGCAAAAATGGGTAGTGCTTATGGAACAAGTACCTTTAACTCTCTTCTCAAATTTATCATGCATGTATTTAGCTTGATTCACTATGCATTTATATTTATAGTTCATAGATGATGCCAGCCTTTTTAAGTTGATATTTTATGAAATACTTTGAAATGAAACTTATTCAATTTCTATTAGGAATTTTTTTTAGTTGATGAGTGCAAGTATTTTTTTATTCAAATTAATTGATTAAATATAGTTATTACCAATAACTTTCTTAGAAATGTTTAAATGCAATTAACTATTAACTTATTGGTGTTAAAATTAAACTATCTTCTTTTGCCAGAAAGGTCTAACTTTATGATAATTAATAATGGTCCAGTTAATTAGTTTTGTTGTTTTTAATTCAAATGGTAAATGCTGCAGTTTTTTGATTAAATTAAAATTGTTGACTGAAATGATGTCAGCTTTGTACCTATAAGTAAAAGAAATTTAATGAAAATGTCATTATAAATTAAATGCTGAAACTTGCCCTCTACAAATTATTACATATATTTTCATTTTGTCACACAAATATATTTTTGTGAACAATGACTTTCTTAGCATATATATCTTCTTAATTCGTAAAGCAATATGGGTTATGAATAATATTTTACATTAGAAAAAATATATGTATATATAATACCTGACTTTGTTTTCTTTGTATAAGCTTCAAAACATCATTTAATAAATAATAATCTTTTGCTCGAGCATCTGTAAAGACATATATGTGAGAATTTGGAAGACAAACTTCTAAAGCTAGTTTTATGGCTCCAACACTCATTTCAGGGCAATCTCCACCACCTTGAACATAAAGCTCTTTCAGTTGCCGCTGAAACAGATCTGGATCTGTTGTTACTGTAACTGGTCCAATATCTACAAAAAGCAAAAACGAATATTCTTGTATCATTATCAGAAAGGATGAACAACATTGCATATTTATTACTACACATATTAATTATAATAGAAATAAACTCATTCAATATCTGATAGGATAAAATAGTAAATATAACATAAATCATAGAAGTACAATGTAATACACTAAATTCTGTGCATGCATTTAATTTTTCAAAACATTTTAAGAATAGAAAAATACATTAACCACTTCCCATTTATAGAAATTAATTTGAATTGCATTTGGTAACAAATTTAGGCTAATTATATTTCAGTTCTTTCCTTGTTAAATGTTTGGAAGTAGAAATGTTATAAATATATCACTGAATTCTCAAAAATGTTTAAAACTAACTTTACTAAATTCTTAGCCATCCAGGTACAAATTATTCATGCACTGCCTGTCATCCTTCCAAAAGCATTACAAGAAAACTAATAAATGAAAAGAAGAAATGAAAGAATGAAAAAATATAAGTAATATTCACCCTCTGTTAAATGCTTTAACATATATGAGAGATACTGTTGCCTGCATTTTTATTAATCTTTTACAGACAAAACCAATTTCACAGTTTCCATAATCATAAAAGTCTTTGGTACTTACGTATTATCGCAACCAGGTTGGTGCGATTTGTAAGTGTGAGTAAAAAAGTATGAATAGAAAGAAAATGTACATTTATTAATTACAGATAATTTTTAATACAGTTTTTTATATATTATTTTGTTTTAAAATATAAAATAGCAATTAAACCCTTCCGGTTTCGAATTTGAATAAGTTGCAGAATTATTTTTTCAGCGGAAATCTTTCGGCTATTGCTTTTAGCACTGATTGAAAACCGTCTTCGCCATTAACAGCTTGAGCTTGGCGCCATATAAATTCGATAAGGTATGAGTGAAGATGATGACGGGCTGTTCCTCTCTGTTTTTTGTTGCGCCATTTGGCTGAGCCCCACATGCGCTCTACATGTTGTGTGTGAACGCCTGTGTTAGGATCCACAAAGTTATATTTGTGATTAACAGTTCCATGCAGAAATCCAGCATTTTCGAACTCACTTGTATTGTATCCTTTCCAGCAATCCGAGTAAATGATACTTCCTTCCTTGATATTTTCGCAAATTTTTTCCGTGAGGGTAACGGCGCTTCTGTTAGGTACAGTAACCAAAAAAGTCTCTTTCTTTTCTCGGCAAATTCCGTCCGAAATCCTATTGCTGTGGTAGTACACGCCCAATGTTATTTTTTCTTTTTACAAATAAATTCTTTTTACAAAACTACGTATAACACGTAGGGTTGCCGTAAGTAGGGTCGCCAAATTTGGCGATTTATGTGAATTTTAGCCTGGTTGCGTTAATACGTAAGTACCAAGTCTTTTTACAATTTTGAAAATCACAAAAGCAGTCGACAGAAGTAGAATGTTTATCACTTGAGAATGACTTCTTTCAGTTTGAAGTCTTTTATTTAAATATTTTAATTTTAGGCAAGAATGAGCAAGCTTAAGCAACAGACTAAACAAAGAAAGATAATTTTAGCAATTAAAGAAAAACTTGATACAACTGTCAAGTTATTGAAATATGACGTGTAACTTTAACACTAGAGCAGTAACAAAATAAGGAAGTTAGTTGAAAGTTCATTTGAAAAACGTTATGCTTGCCTAATCTAACAAATGAAATAGAAATTAGCAGTAGGCATTCCTATCTGAGGCTCAAAATGCATGGAAAAAGCATTGTCATTCCTCAGTTCTTCAGATACTGGTGGCTGAACTCATGCATCTATGGGTTGTTTCAGGTACTTTAAGAAATGACATGATATTGAAAAAATACATCTGAAAAGTGAAATATTACACGTGAATTATTATTCAACTGCAAGAATCTTTAATAACAAAGGCAATTATATGGAGAAAGCAATTATTCTTCGATGAAATTTTTAGTGCAAATGAGACAAGTATCATTTGAAAAGGCCTCCCAACTAAAAGATTAGCATTGCAATGAGTTAAAGCAACATCAGATTATAAAATCATCTCTTACTGAAACCTTTCATTAGAGGCAAGTCTCAAACCTCTAAAAACTTTGGCAAGATATAAGGTATTTTCTCCCTCCTTTCTGCATGCTTTCATGGTGTAACAGTAGCACACTCGGTACATATTCGAAAGGTACAGGTTCGAGTCCCGGTGAGGGCATTGCTTATTTTTCATGTCTCCTGGTTCAAAAATCCTCATGACTCTACATTGGCACCCAAGCAAAAAAAAGTGGTGGATGATAATTTTTCACCACCAGGATTTGGAAAGCGGGTCCCCTAATCCCCAGTTGGCATTTAAAAAGGGGAGTACATAAGGCATTTTCTCCCCTCTTTCTGCATGCCTTCGTGGAGTAACAGTAGCACATAACTACATATTCAAGAGGTTCAGGTTTAAATCCTGGAGAGGGCATTGCTCATTGTTCACGTCTCCAGCATCAAAATAACCTAATGATTCTACAAAGAATTTTGAAATAAAATTTCTTTTTGTTATGAACCTCAGTCATCTGTATGAGTCATCCAGAATATTTATAAAATGGTTTCATAAAAAATTTGTTCCACAGATGACTAAATTGTTGGACAAGAAGAGTTTATATTGCTTCTGATTTAAAAAATGTAAATGAAGAAAACCTGAAAAAATGGCTGGAAGACAAAAAGAATAGTGATGACTAAATCTACTCTCATTAAGATATTATTGACTCGAAGAAATGCAGTAAATAAGCAAGAAGAAGCTAAAACAACAAGAATAAGCCATAACAAGGCATTGGAATGTATAGACAAGTTTTGAGACTACATGGATCAGCAAAGTAAATTTGAATTCAATAATATAATAGCTTTATAATATTTCAAACAAATCTCAACAGATTATTACACAAAAAATACAACAGATCTGTTCTTAAAGAAAAAGATTTTGGTACTTTTCCGTTTCACCGGCACAAATCTCGCCAAGCAAACTTTATTACGACAACATACAGTATACACATAAAAAAATGTTAACAAATGTTAGTTCTAAGAACTTTTTATTTTAAAGGCATAAACATTTTAATATCGTTTAAAATTTTGTAAAAAGCCAATAAATAAAGACAATAAATTTGTAAAAAGACATTAATTTAAGAATTCATGGTTAAACAAGCTGATTTTCTGGTTCATATTATGTGACCCCAAGTGATCTCATCTCACATAAACTAAAGTATGCTACAAAAATCTAATTATCTCAGTAATTATCTACATTAATTTCAAATTAAATCTTAATTCGGAATGCAAGTTTAAAGACAAGAATTATTTCAATTCATACGAATAGCTTATTCAGAAATTATGTAAAACCACAGTGCTTTACTTTGCTAGTGTATTCTCATTAGAATTGATGAATTTAACCCTTGACTTTGCCTTTTCTATATTTTCGCCATCAGGGTGAGCAGTGTGATTGCATCTTAATTGACTTGAATACCGCCCGCGAATGGCCTTAGGGCATAAAATTGTAACTATCTGGTAAACATTCTATGTAATTGTATGCCAGTAGTATTGAAAGAAACAATCAATCTGATAAGAAATGTCTGCGACTTGTCTTTGAAAATGAAGGAGTAAAAGGCTTACCAGCGAGGAATATTCCGTTTGGCATCAGGTTATACCATATTGGCGACTTTATTGGTTGCTCTGGCAAAACAGAAAAGTACCAAGATTTTAAATTAATTATTAAAAAATTTATATTCAATATCTTAATTTTAATAATTAAAAGGTTTTAATTAAATTATACAATATTTATATTTATTTTGATTAAATGAAATTAAAATATACTTTTTCCTGTTTTATAATGCTGAAAGCTATTACAATTTTCTGTGAATACATGTGCAGTATTTAGAATATATGAATTTTATATTTGTACACAATTTTGGGCCATTTCCAGATTATCTACATTTCTCTATTATCCATGCATATATGGGAAACTGGTATGGATATGCAGAAATTGAGTTGTGTACTCTGTTCTAAAACTTACACTTCCAATATAGAATCAGCAATTAATAAAGTGATGATACTTATCAGTACAGTGAAACCCTGGATCATGAATGCCTGTAATCACAAAAAAAAATATCTGAACAAAAAATTTCTTGAATGAGACACAGTGTCTCAAATTACAAACACTGAAGTCACCAAAAAATGGTTTCCAAAGGTGTTTTGAGCTAAAGTTTGATAAGGAATTAACATTCGAGAACCTTCAAAAAAACATTTAGAAATTTAACATACACTTCATTTCACAAAATTAAAACATCAAATTCTAATATAATTTTTTACATAGGATTAAAATCTCTTAATAATTTTCCATTTAAAAAAAATTGCCATTAAACCTGAAACAAATTATATCATGAAATAGCTTGTTGTGGAAGTACTGTTCGCAACTTGTCAATTTCAGTGTTACTAATAGCAATAATTTCCGTAAAAGTTTTCTTCCTTCCCCCTTACACTGTTAGAATTTCTTTACATAGCCCAAACGGTATAGTGGTTAGGGAAGCCGACTTTCATAATACTAAAGGGCTCAGGTTAGCATTTTCAACATTAGGAAAAAACTGCTTTTTTTAAAATTGTAATGACTTTTTGAAATGAATTAGCACAAACATATTGCAGGGATTTATGTAATTTACTTAACACTTTATTTTAAAGCAACCTTTCCTATTGCTCTTGCATTCAACCCACACTTTTTTGCCAGAATGTAAATGAGTTAGTGTGTGTGCATTCAAATGATCTTTGATTTGCTACTGATTAGATTTATCTGGTGTTGAGTGCTTCTTGCCATCATTTAGGCTTGTTTACGCTGACTTTTAGAAATCAGAGCCTGCCAGAGCATTAAATAACCTGTGAGAAGCCATTAGATTAACTTAATTCAATTTAATTTTAAGTTGTTATCTTTTAAGTTACGCCAAAAGTGTTGGCTTTGGTAAGCACGAGTTGGTGCCATCTGTGAATCATAATTGAATTAATAAAGG